GTCATATGACCGCAGTATGGTATCACAATTATATGACAAAAATTTTTTAAATCGCATTTATAAAGGTATCCGAAAATTTTTGACCACCCTCTGTATATCAAATCTAGCAATAAAAAGTTTCTTCTGCATTTCTGATTAAATAACAGCGAAAAGAACATATCAGAAAATGAGCTATAAATCATGGTAAAGATCCTGATAAGTTTATGATAATTATAGAAAAAGACGTCAACTTATCTTAAGAATATTGAAATAGAATGATGGCAGACGTAGAAGTCATTGAATTTGCTAGAAAAAATAAGATAAATCTGAATAATTTATTTTACATGACTAGAAGAAAAAGGTTAATAAGTGAAGAAATATATCTCTGGAAGTTTGAGAATATGAAAAACCATGGAAGTATATTTATAATAATAAAAAATAGCAAAAAAATATAAGCATACTTCAGGAAAATGGTAAAAAGTGAATAAAAGCAGAACAATAGTGTTGGTAAAGATAGGACTTTTCATTCTTTACAACTAGATGATATATTATTCTAAATTATTATTAATTTTTTTCGCTTATCCTAACAACTTGCAATTTTCAAATATATGCAAAACATATTCTGGTCAGAGCAGGTAGCCTCAAAGAAACCTTTCATAAGTTATATATTTTTTTACTTTTTCTAACCTTCTGATAGTTTTTACCAACCATAAGATAGTGAAATTACAGAATATTTTTTTTCAAATTGTACTTTGTCCCATTTAATATAATCTGAATATCACAGATTAATCTAACTACCACATATATTTTACATATTACAGCATGTCTGCAAGTATAATCAAGTTCGTTACAGACTACTAACTCACTAATGAGATGAATATTAAAGAGCTCAATCAGTATGTACTAAAAATATATAACCTCTTGAGAGATAATAGAGAGAAAAAGCGTTAAGCTTGTAATCGTCTTTAAAAAAAGTATAAATTTAGCAAAGAACAGGCATTCACATTGATTTCTGATAGAGAATTGGGCAGTATATAAGTCAAGTACTGGTTCTAGAAAAATTAGAATTAGAAGTTGAAATGAATATTAGTCTAGTTTCTGATAACACTTTAGAAGAAGAGACTATTAAAGAAATGGCTTAGCGTATTGTTTGGAATAATCTTAGTGAAAGAGATGTAAAAGTGATATCTAGAATCTTAGTTAAAACTGCTCTGATTCTATCGTCACCTTATCACATCTCTCTAAGCTTCAAAGAGAATTACGAACCCTCAATGCTTCAGAAAAAATAATCTCTGCTACCAAGATTCTGGAGATAACCAGAGCATCTAATAAAATCTAACAGAAGCATATTAAATAACATAAAAATGAAGAACTTTATTATTCAGATCACTTTTCGTTAGAATTAGTTGAGGAACAGCTAGATTTGTATGTTATGTCTAACACACTTGATAAATAGGTTCTAGCTGATATAATGATCATGCTCTGTATTCATCCTGCTAAAATTAAAAACTTATGTATAGTAAATAGAGTATAACTGGATACGTAAAAAACTAAGGCCAACAGAATATTCTTCAGGTATTTAGATCACTGAAAAAAAAATGAGGAGCGAGTAAAATAATTGCTTACATAGATTTAGGAAGTAATTATTTTCAGAGTGTTAAAAGATTCAGAAAAGCCTGGATTAACATACTTAAATTTATTTCTGAAAAAAAATGAATATATTTCTAAACCTTATGAATTACTACTCTCTAGTTCTTTGCGCAAATTAGGGATAGTATTTGCTTTTGTGATGCATGAGCCTAAAAATCTATCAAAAGTTAATACTTATGCTAGTAAAGCACTTCATCACAGTCCTGATAATCATACTTCTTCATCTGATAGATATACTATAGTTAATTTTAGAAAAAAAGGGCAACCTTATGATTAAGCAAAACCATTCTGAATCTCTAATGAAAACTAATCACATATAAGGGTTAGAAGGTTAGGGAGACTGATTTATCAGTCTAATATCATTTATTAATTTTATTTTTCACTTGAAGCAAGATATACTATATATAAAATATCACAAAAATGGTAACTGATCAAAATTATTTATCTGATGCATCTAGAAAGCAGAAAGTTATCAAATATATAAAGATATTAGTCCAGGCATTTGGATTAGACAAGCAAAATATAAAGGTGTATAGTGCACTTTTTGGTGAAAATAAAGCATTAAAGAAATAATTGGAAGACTATCATTCTTAATACAATACTTTAAAAAAGAGAATAAAAAGATTAGAGAGATATATAAAGTCTTTAGAGACTGAATTAGAAGATTTGAATGAATATGTAGATAAGGAAAACTGTGATCAACATAATATATGAAATAGCTCCCTTGATAATTGATAAAAAAGGTTAAAAGGATGAAGGGTTCTTTCTATTTATCTGAGTTGTCTGAAGATTTTGATTTGGTCAAAACAATTATGATAAGAGAAAATGAGGCTATCCTTATAAGCAATAAAAGAAAACATGATCAAAAAAGGTTTAATGGTTGGTAGTTTAAAATGAATCAAGCCAGAGAATTTGAAGAATCAAACGTTAAATAGAGTTTAATTTTATATTTGAATATTATATATGCCATAATAAAATGGTATTTGTAAATTATGTAATTGAAGAAAATATTCCTATTAAGACATCAATTAATATGTGTACTAATATAAATGCATTAGCCAAAAATATATTGGTGAATTAAGAATTACATAACATAATGAAAGCAATAGCATTGCAACTCTGAATGCATTTTATTCTACATTAGGAAAGGTCAATCTGCATATTAGTTTTAAAGATAATAAAAAACATAAAAGCATATTTATTGAATTCATAGTTCTTGGATTGGATTAACCCTAATTATTATCCTGACTTAGTATTAGAAATGCCATGGTTTCAAGAAAATTATGCAACTTTAAGTATATACAATTCAAAACTATTATTAAATGATAATTTTACGATTTCATTTCAAAGAAGTAAAATATAAACCTAATATAGAATAATGATTATCTGAAGCAGTAATCATCAATATGCATAATTTTATTTTTTATTAAAGATACAGCATATATCATTTATGATACATTTGGGTGTTATAAATTTATCAGAACTATTAGAGCAGATTTTATATTTCCTAGCAGTAGATAAGTCACTATATTCTGCTCTATTTATTTACCAACTTGGTACAAGTGTAGTGCTTCCATTCTATGAAAATACATTAAGCTAAAAAGAAATAACACACATCACTCTTAATTGAAAAAATTTATGAAAATAGTGTGTAAAAGACAAAAGTCAGTTTATAGTTTAAATCTAACTCATCTAAAAATTTTACATTACTACTCACTTTTAGATAAAAAATTCAATGGCATTGTGTGCTTATTCCCAAATATAATTTATTTAGATTTCAATTATACTATAAGATTTAGTAACAAAATACTAAAACGAATAGCAAAATCATATCCTAATCTCAAATATCTTAATTTACAAAAAGATAAATATATATTCTGTAATATGAGCATAATAAAACTTTGAATAGTTCAGTTTAGTTCAAATTAGATGCCAATCTATATTTGAATCAAAAATTTCAATTCAATTCAATTTGGATTATTAATCTTAAAAATGCCAATCTGAATCTGAACTGAATCGCAGACCAATAAAAATTTGAACTGAATTGGAATTTTTAGATTAATCTGAAATTACAGTTTGATTATATAAGAAATCTGCAATTTTTTGCAACTTTCCAAGAATTTTGTAATATTTTTGTGAAATTCTAATAGAAATTGCAAAAAATTGTGATTCTTCAAGGTTTTATAATTTTTTTGCAAAATTTGAAGAGAAACTGCAAAAAATTGCGATTTCTTAGAGAATTCATAAATTTTGCGATCCTCTAAGAGTTTCACATATAATCGAACTGAACTTTCAGATTAATCTGAAATTATCAGTTCAGTTCAGATTTTTTTTCAGTTCAGATTAGAATTATAATCTGAAAAAAATCTGAACTGAACTGAAAATTTTCAGATTGATTTTTATGTAATCTAAAACTGATCTAAACCAAATTGATCTGAAAATTTTTCAGATAAATCTGAACTATTCAAAGCTTTAAGGCATAATAACTAATGAAGATCTATATGCAATTACCCTATTATATCATAAATTAGAATATTTAAATATTTCTCACTACACAGATATTCGTAAACTATCAATTTGTAATATTATTTGTTCTTGTTTAAAGCTCTAATAACATGACCTTAAATTTTGTAATATTACTAATATAATGATTGAAGAGATTGCTAGTTCATGTCTTGATTTAAAATATATTAATCTGGAAAGGTATTATAAAATTAGCAAAGAAGCTGTAGATAAACTAAATCCAAATATCTATGTAAAGAATTTTGTGAAAATTTTAATGCTTTTTAATCTTATTAGAGTAGTTAATAATCAAATTTTAGCTTAAGATCTTCAGAACCTTTTAGATCTAAGTATGCGAGATAATCAGAATTTAGTTCTATCTCAGATGCATCAATAACATAGAGCTGGTAAAAGAATATTAGTCTCAGAATAGGTACTCTATCAATCTAACTAGTCTGGATCAGTAATCAGTTCAGAAGATTTTTTTGCTGAGCTATGCATAGCACCTTCAGTCAAATTGTGCGATAAAAAAATAAATAGATCATCAGTCAGATCTTGTACAATATTAATTTTTGTATATATCAAAAGAAAATATTAGTTAACCAGTTTTTCTATTTTTTTTAATTAAAAAATTTTCTAACTATATAAAATGCATACAGCTAATTTACTTGATCAGTTTACGCTTGAATTAATATTATTTATTCTAAAGAATTTATTGATACAGGAACTTAGAAAATGTTACAGTATAAATAATATATGAAAAATGAGGCACTTTGAGAAATTCACAAAAGATTAATAGTGGATTATACATTCACTTATACTAAATTACACTGATTGACCTTAAATCCTTTTATAGTAGCATTAGTAAGATGCTTGTTAAAAAAATTGATTTATATATTTCTAGAGAATATGAATTAAGATATCCTGCAGTAAGAAATCTTGGCATTAGCGTAACAAATGCTGTCAAGAAAGTAATGTGAAGGGGTTGGGTTGATAGAGAAGAAGTTTCTGTCACTTTGCTAAATATCTTTAATGAGATAGTATCCTTCATATTTGGAAATAGATATAGCAAATTTTGTAGTTATTGATAAGCCTAAATATAATTTGATTTTAGGAAATGTATGGCTAATATATACAGGATATGTTGTTGACAGATATCAAAACTCACTAATATATATGAATAAACCTAAAGAGATTGAAGAACAAGAAAGGGAAAAAAACAATATTGCTATAAAAAAAATCTTTGCGAATTACCTCTTTCATTGCATACGTTTATGAGCTATTATTTTCTGATTTTACTGCAACAGATTCAGATGGAGAAATTATAATAACCAAAAATTTCAAACATCATAAAGTTATGAGAAATCTTGATCTAAATACTTATTATGATTTAGAATACACTGAAATAGAATCTGAATATTCTAACTCTAAAGACGAGAATGAGAATGAAGAAATTGAGTCACCTATAATAATAATGTGCCTTCTTCAATGATTATGAGCATATCTTATATTCTGAATAATTTTGTTACCACATTTAATAATTATCTTAGATAAGCAGATGATGTATAGAATATTATTTTCGCATTTCTTAGTCGAAAATTAACATAGCTTTTTACAAAATGGTGATACTCTACTAATCTAACTAATCTAGAACAGTGATCATTGATTAAAATTTTTTTGTATTACAAGTAGGTTACTTCTGTACAATAGAAAAATAAGTGAATCATCAATCAGATTTTGTATAACATATTAATTTTTGCATATAACAAAAAGAAAATATATATGCTAACCAATATCTCTATTTTTTTTCTGAACAAACATGAAAAAAATGTGAAAAGAGGTCTATATATAACACAAGACCTTTTCTACAAGTAAATAGAGCTGATAAAAGCATATATTATAAAAGGCTGAGAAACTTGTAATTTTGAGATTGCTAGATATAAAACTAACTATATATTTTATAGGGTAGATTTTCATGTGAAAAGTATAAAGATTTTATTTGTATATGCTTTTATGATCCTCTAGGGAACTGATAATAATACTAATTGTGTCTTATATCTCTATAGCTTTTTTTCAGTAAGATATAAAGCATGTAATGATATGTGAAAGTTCAGCTAACTTTCTGCAAAAATTTTAAAATATGTATATGCCAGAAGTTATGTTTACTGCAAGTGAAAATTTCTTACAATGGGCTCTTGCATTTAAGAATTAAAAATAACTAACACCAATCCTCTTAAACTTAGGTGTTATTTTCAGGATGAAGAAGATGAAAATTTTTCATGATTGAATCTTGCAAGAAGAATAAAGTTGCTATTCTCAAATTTACCATTAAAACTCTTTTAGCAAACTAAGGTTACCAAGCTCTATCCTTTAACTTCAACCTATATGTGAATTATTCTAAAAAAAATAAACTTACAGAAGTAGCAGAAGAAATCTCTAAGTATTTTGATAAGCCTTTCATTCAGAATCAAATTCATATTCTTATAAAATCCAAGAATAAATAATATTTTTTATTTGTATTATATAGTGCTATAGTCACAAATTTTATGTATTGTAAATCGACTTCTGACAACTTTTTTTTTATTTTATAAATAAAGTATTATTTTATCAAATGTATATGAGAAACAGGTTACGTAAAATAATGCAATGCCTGTACTACATAAAAAGCTATATTAATACTCAGTAATTTTTCCAAAAATAAATTTTTATCTCACTCCAAAACGTAGTATTATTTTTTGTCTGAGCTAAACTAGTCTATATAAAAATGTAACACTATGTCTAAAACTAGTACACCTTATACTCCAGCTTCTACTTCTACTTCTATTGCTAGAAATGAAAGTCTCACTAGTAGAAGATATTAAAAAATATGACACGACTAAGCTTATAGATTTCTTGTATAGGAATAAAACTTGGGTTTTGATGATGTCAACTTAATAATAATTTGCAAAGAGGAGTGTAAGAATAAGAAGTTGGGATCATTTTTCTCATACAGGACTAAGAAAGACTTGAAAGAATTATTAGTAAAATATAGTGTTAAAGATGGGTAAATAACAGACATATCGCAATTTACATTAAGTGTATTTTATTGCTTATTCAAGTTGCTGAACCTTCAGAACAATATAACTAATATATTGTATTTTATTAATTTATAAAGAACCTCACATATATTATCTAAAGGATATACAATTCAGGCTATGTAATATAAGACCTATTGATAATAGTAATGAAACAATTCATTATAAATATATTTCAGTAATCCTCTATACATGCATTAATATAATCAGAGAACTTACTGAAAAAAATATATCACTAAACCCTCAATTCAAAGTTGTTAGTGAGAAGAATATAGGTCATGTGGATTATGCAATCAAAGTACTTGAGGAATTAATTTGTATTATAGAAGATAAATAATATTAAATTACTATTGGGTTTGCTTAGGTTAATAAGTTTATTTATTTCAGAGTTTCTTAAGACTTATTCATTAACTAATTTAATATCTCTAGTTACTTACAAAATGTTATATAATATGAAAGTACTTTTTAAACTAACAAAAGAAAATGAAAGGTGAATGATGTTTTTGGTGATGAATATGACTATCTTTTTAAAATCATGACTACAGCTATGGAATGGCATTTTTTCCTTTATACTCCAGACAGGATTTTTTTGCACAAGTAGAAATCCACTTAATATTTGTTTTGTTAAGACTGCTTTAGAAGAAGGTTCAGAAGATAAAAAGGAGTTATGTAAAAATGTGAAGCAGGTGATGGAGGTTATTGTTGGATTATTAAAGGAAAGGGTGGATATTGAGAAAGAGCCTAAGAATAAAAAGGCTAGGATCTAAGAATACCTTAAAAAAATAATTATACTGTAATTATATATTAGCATAGATATCATATATCACAAGTTATATCCTGAATATTTATATTTATTTTTCGCATATATTAATAAAAATTGAATTTTGCAGGTATATATAATAAGTGAAAAAAATATAGTCATAGAATGAGTTATATATAAATTTATATCATATTCACATTTTAACTGAGTAACCATATTAGAATTAATACATACTCTGGCTCTAAAATATCTGTTTTTGTGAATGCATCATATAATGCATTTGGTTTATATCTTAAAAGTACTAAATTTGGATTATAGAGAAATTTCATGAGCACTTCATTTTTCTAAGTTTTCATCTCCTCTTGCTTCTAATTTATTCCTATTAGTGTGATCAAGTTATCATTAGAATAATTCATTTAGATTAGATTCTTAAGCAAGGATTATTTATTTTTTCAAAAATGAATAAACTTATTTCTTTTACAACGCAGATTCTATACTAATAGGAAAGTTTTTACAAATATTTACTCTACTAGCTAAGATAGATAAAGGCAAAATTAAGGCTGAATAGTAGAAGTCAGTTAAAGGATCCAGCTCAAATTCATCTACATATATAATTTCAATCTCTTCTAAATAATCTGAGAGTCTATAAATATATTTATAGCCTTCATGAATCAACTTCTGAAATAGCTTTCTATTTGGATTGATCTATCAGCCAATTAGAATATTGAATACTATTTTTTTCACATCTATAGATTATGATTTATGCTATGATATATGATTAATCATTTACAATATACTTTTTTTCATCACAGTTCAATTAGAATTTTCTCATTTTGAAATTCGTATTCTATAATGTAAAAGGTGCAAAAATATAATAAATGAATCATCTTACCTGTCTTTACATTAAAAAAGATGGAAGTATTTGTAATCATGTTTGCACTCGCTTAGTAGAATGCTTTCTCCACTGAAAATTAGGTGCAAATAATATATGCTAAATCTCCATATAGAATATGTGATAAACCTATATTATCTTATACAGGCTATTGCTTCAAGCATGCTAAAAAAATTTATTATCATGCTGAAAGGAAAAGGCAGCAAAAAAATAATTATAACGTTATTCTGTAATTATAAATTAATGGAAGGTGAGATCTCATATAGAATGTATTAATAAAAATTTTTTTCTTAGCAAAAGTGTGTGAATTTTTATTTGAGTAATGGGATTTTATTACTTAAACATAACATAAATATAATAAATTCATTACTAACATAAAAAGTAAAAAAACTTTTTTTGCTAATCACCAAAAATGCCAAAAAAAAATCAAAAATCTAATAACTGCGATCACTCTACATCGCTAGTCAAAGAAAAACTACTACTATAAAAAAGACAGAATACCACTCAAACAACTGAACAAGAAGTTATCAATAAAAGTTCTAATATTGCACAACCTTTAGTTGTCACTATATAAGTTGACCAAACATCTGATACTACACCTTTGCCACTTAATAAAGGGAAAAATAAAGAAACTAATACAGTCACTGAAATTATAACTAACAATAAAAAAGATGAAATGAATATCAACAGTCCTTCTAACACGTCTGAAAATACTATTGACATCATCTCAGTAGCTTTTGTTATGCTATTCCTTAATGCTGAAAAATTTTTTACGTATTTTTTGCTTGAAAAATATCCTAGAGCTAACCCTAACAGAAGATCACTAAAATCACTAATAAATATTATTTTAATTATATTTCCTTTACAAGAGTCACACGTGAAAAACTTCCTGCTGATTTCTCAACTAATATTCTCAAGGTTGCCTTTTTAGATTCTAACAAACGTGATGATCTTTGTAAAGTACAGATTCCTAATATGAACAAACTCATGTTTCTACTTCTAGTTATACAAACATTACATCTTTTTGTACTTACACAGTTGATCACAGTAACTGAGATCCCGTTAGATTTTACAGTTATATGAATTAAAAAATTTTTTTTTCCATTATAGAAATATTGTATGTTGCATTATGAAAACTAGAAACCTGTAATAACACGCTATTATTACTTTTAATAAAAATGCTAAATTTGATCTTCAAGCGACTGATGGATTATTCATTATCAATGACTCTATTCGTATTCACATATGTGACCTGAATAGAAAAGAAATTCAAGATCATTTTAAATTCTCTAAAAAACTAACTAATCTTTCACAAGGTATTACAGCACGTGATCTTCTTAATATTAGTAAGATGGTTGATGCTACCGCCTGAATTATTCTACAAGTAAGATCAAATTATAACTATCTACAATACGCGTACTTCTATTTTTGCAATGATAATGAAGCTGATGCTGTAATTGCGATTAATAAACTTACACTTAATAATAAAAAACTCGAATGGACAGACGCAAAAATTAAACTATGTGCTATTTATTCATTGATATATCATAATGCGTCTTTATGTCCTAGAAAATGAAATACTTCTAAAAACAAAAATACCTAATACCTATACAGGTTTTAACTAGCTCAATTCAACAGATATACTGCACCTAAGAAACCTCATGATTCTGTTAAAGATAACATCACATTTGCTAATATTATTAATCCTTCAATCTCTAACGTCAGACATCTGCAAACTCAAAACAAAAAACCTCCTTCTCCTCCTCTTCTACCAAAAAAGCCTAATGTTATCAAAAAAAATGTTATTAAAAAACCACCTGTCTTAAGGTAGAAGGA